TGAGTTCACGATGAGTGAGTTCACGATCAGTGAGTGAGTGAGTTCACGATGAGTGAGTGAGTTCACGATGAGTGAGTGAGTTCACGATGAGTGAGTGAGTGAGTTCACGATGAGTGAGTGAGTTCACGATGAGTGAGTGAGTTCACGATGAGTGAGTGAGTTCACGATGAGTGAGTGAGTGAGTTCACGATGAGTGAGTGAGTGAGTTCACGTTGAGTGAGTGAGTTCACGATGAGTGAGTGAGTGAGTTCACGATGAGTGAGTGAGTTCACGATGAGTGAGTGAGTTCACGATGAGTGAGTGAGTGAGTTCACGATGAGTGAGTGAGTGAGTTCACGATGAGTGAGTGAGTGAGTTCACGATGAGTGAGTGAGTTCACGATGAGTGAGTGAGTTCACGATGAGTGAGTGAGTTCACGATGAGTGAGTTCAAGATGAATGAGTGAGTGAGTTCACGATGAGTGAGTGAGTTCACGATGAGTGAGTGAGTTCACGATGAGTGAGTTCACGATGAGTGAGTGAGTTCACGATGAGTGAGTGAGTGAGTTCACGATGAGTGAGTGAGTTCACGATGAGTGAATGAGTGAGTTCACGATGAGTGAGTGAGTTCACGATGAGTGAGTGAGTTCACGATGAGTGAGTGAGTTCACGATGAGTGAGTGAGTTCACGATGAGTGAGTGAGTGAGTTCACGATGAGTGAGTGACTGAGTTCACGATGAGTGAGTGAGTGAGTTCACGATGAGTGAGTGAGTGAGTTCACGATGAGTGAGTGAGTTCACAATGAGTGAGTGAGTTCACGATGAGTGAGTGAGTGAGTTCACGTTGAGTGAGTTAGTTCACGATGAGTGAGTGAGTTCACAATGAGTGAGTGAGTGAGTTCACGATGAGTGAGTGAGTTCACGATGAGTGAGTGAGTGAGTTCACGATGAGTGAGTGAGTGAGTTCACGATGAGTGAGTGAGTGAGTTCACGATGAGTGAGTTCACGATCAGTGAGTGAGTGAGTTCACGATGAGTGAGTGAGTGAGTTCACGATGAGTGAGTGAGTTCACGATGAGTGAGTTCACGATGAGTGAGTTCACGATGAGTGAGTGAGTTCACGATGAGTGAGTGAGTTCACGATGAGTGAGTTCACGTTGAGTGAGTGAGTTCACGATGAGTGAGTGAGTGAGTTCACGATGAGTGAGTGAGTTCACGATGAGTGAGTGAGTGAGTTCACGTTGAGTGAGTGAGTTCACGATGAGTGAGTGAGTGAGTTCACGATGAGTGAGTGAGTGAGTTCACGATGAGTGAGTGAGTTCACGATGAGTGAGTGAGTTCACGATGAGTGAGTTAGTGAGTTCACGATGAGTGAGTGAGTGAGTTCACGATGAGTGAGTGAGTGAGTTCAAGATGAGTGAGTGAGTTCACGATGAGTGAGTGAGTTCACGATGAGTGAGTGAGTTCACGATGAGTGAGTGAGTGAGTTCACGATGAGTGAGTGAGTTCACAATGAGTGAGTGAGTTCACGATGAGTGAGTGAGTGAGTTCACGTTGAGTGAGTTAGTTCACGATGAGTGAGTGAGTTCACAATGAGTGAGTGAGTTCACGATGAGTGAGTGAGTTCACGATGAGTGAGTGAGTGAGTTCACGATGAGTGAGTGAGTGAGTTCACGATGAGTGAGTGAGTGAGTTCACGATGAGTGAGTGAGTGAGTTCACGATGAATGAGTGAGTTCACGATGAGTGAGTGAGTGAGTTCACGATGAGTGAGTGAGTGAGTTCACGATGAGTGAGTGAGTTCACGATGAGTGAGTGAGTGAGTTCACGATGAGTGAGTGAGTTCACGATGAGTGAGTGAGTTCACGATGAGTGAGTGAGTGAGTTCACGATGAGTGAGTGAGTGAGTTCACAATGAGTGAGTGAGTTCACGTTGAGTGAGTGAGTTCACGATGAGTGAGTGAGTTCACGATGAGTGAGTGAGTTCACGATGAGTGAGTGAGTGAGTTCACGATGAGTGAGTGAGTGAATTCACGGTGAATGAGTGAGTTCACGATGAGTGAGTGAGTGAGTTCACGATGAGTGAGTGAGTGAGTTCACAATGAGTGAGTGAGTTCACAATGAGTGAGTGAGTTCACGATGAGTGAGTGAGTGAGTTCACGATGAGTGAGTGAGTGAGTTCACGATGAGTGAGTGAGTTCACGATGAGTGAATGAGTGAGTTCACGATGAGTGAGTGAGTGAGTTCACGATGGGTGAGTGAGTGAGTTCACGATGAGTGAGTGAGTTCACGATGAGTGAGTGAGTGAGTTCACGATGAGTGAGTTCACGATGAATGAGTGAGTTCACGATGAGTGAGTGAGTTCACGATGAGTGAGTGAGTTCACGATGGGTGAGTGAGTGAGTTCACGATGAGTGAGTGAGTGAGTTCACGATGAGTGAGTTCACGATGAATGAGTGAGTTCACGATGAGTGAGTGAGTGAGTTCACGTTTCTGATGGCTTTTAAAAGCCGACGGCGAGCTAAAGAGACCGAGCATAAATCTCTCGTTTGTGTGAGAGAGAGGGGAGAGCGAGGGAGGGAGGGAGGGATGGAGACCTGGGTTATCACCGATGCGATGAACCTTCGCACAGACGAGAGTGGCGTCGACACGGCAATAACGGGTGACGTGAGGCGTTCGTGGAGGAGCGAAGGCCACTTCTACTTACAGACGGATGCAGGGTTGGGGATCGGGGAGGGAGTGGGGGGTGGAGGATTCGGGGGGAGGGAGAGGAGGGGGGATGGAGAGTTCGGAGGGGGAGCAGCAAGGGAAAGAGGCGATGGGAGAGTGCGGGAGTGAGGGATGGAGAGAGTCGGGGCGAGTCCGGTGGGGAGTTTCACCACGTGCGTGTACGTGCGGTGTGTGGGGGAGACAAAGGCGGTCGCGCGTGGTGCTGGCCACCCACCCCCTCGTGTGCCGTGCCGGCATTCATAGGTGCTCGCTAACAGCACTTGCCCCAGACGTGTGTTAAGGCTATACTGGGTAAATTTATTTTATATAACACAGACCACGCATTATATAACACACAGACTCATACACATATAACACAGTCTTACATAACACATACAGCATACGAACACACACACATACATAGACACATTTCTAAATAACAAAGATCCCCCGTCTAGCCTTTAACAGACTGTTGGGGCAAGTGATGCCAGCGAGTATCGATATGAGGCTGGCATGGCACGCGTGGGTGGCCAGCACCATGCCCGGCCGCCTTTGTCTCCCGAGGGGCGATCTTTACACATCGCACCAGATAACTTATTTGCAGCTGAGTCGACCTAGAGGAGGCCCAGGATCGTCACCGCTGTTGGCCGTCAGCGGGAATCGAATTCGGGTCGCCGAGTTCGTGACTCAAACCGCTACACTACCGCTCCAAAGACAAAGATCCCCCGTGTAGCCTAAGCAAAAGTTTTGGGCAAGTGCTGTTATCGAGCACCTATGACGGCCGGCAAGGCATACGAGGGGGTGGACGGCCAGCACGACACCCGGCCGCCTTTGTCTTCCCAATGGCGATGTTTACACACCGCGCCAGGTATTCGTTTGAGGAGGCTGAGTCGACCTAGGGGAGGCCCAGGACCGGTTCAGACAATCGTCACCGGTGCTGGTGGCCGTGAGCGCGGATCGAATTTCGGGTCGCCTTGTTCGTGACTCTAACCACTACACCACCGCTGCCCACACACGCACACACACACACATATTAGATACGTGCGTTTTCCGTAAATTATGTATCTGTATCGCCCCCCCCTCGCGTCCCTTCCCCAACTGTGTGCATTGCTCCAGCCTTGAGCTCACATTCCTACCCATGGCTCTACCACTAGTGTCAGATGGACTGGGCAGATCTGACCACCCCACGTGGCATTCCTCTAGCCTCGAGCTCACATTCCTACCCTTGGCTCTACCGCCGGTGTCAGATGGACTGGGCAGATCTCACCACCCCACGTGGCATTCCTATAGCCTTGAGCTCACATTCCTACCCATGGCTCTACCGCCAGTGTCAGATGGACTGGGCAGATCTCATCACCCCACGTGGCATTCCTCTAGCCTCGAGCTCACATTCCTACCCTTGGCTCTACCGCCGGTGTCAGATGGACTGGGCAGATCTCATCACCCCACGTGGCATTCCTCCAGCCTCGAGCTCACATTCCTACCCTTGGCACTACCCCAGGTGTCAGATGGACTGGGCAGATCTCACCACCCCACGTGGCATTCCTATAGCCTTGAGCTCACATTCCTACCCATGGCTCTACCGCCAGTGTCAGATGGACTGGGCAGATCTCATCACCCCACGTGGCATTCCTCCAGCCTCGAGCTCACATTCCTACCCTTGGCTCTACCGCCGGTGTCAGATGGACTGGGCAGATCTCACCACCTCACGTGGCATTCCTCTAGCCTCGAGCTCACATTCCTACCCTTGGCACTACCCCAGGTGTCAGATGGACTGGGCAGATCTCACCACCCCACGTGGCATTCCTATAGCCTTGAGCTCACATTCCTACCCATGGCTCTACCGCCAGTGTCAGATGGACTGGGCAGATCTGACCACCCCACGTGGCATTCCTCTAACCTCGAGCTCACATTCCTACCCTTGGCTCTACCGCCAGTGTCAGATGGACTGGGCAGATCTCACCACCCCACGTGGCATTCCTCTAGCCTCGAGCTCACATTCCTACCCTTGGCACTACCCCAGGTGTCAGATGGACTGGGCAGATCTCACCACCCCACGTGGCATTCCTATAGCCTTGAGCTCACATTCCTACCCATGGCTCTACCGCCAGTGTCAGATGGACTGGGCAGATCTGACCACCCCACGGTGGCATTCCTCTAACCTCGAGCTCACATTCCTACCCTTGGCACTACCCCAGGTGTCAGATCGCCGGGCGAGTAACCACCCCACGTGGCGTAACATTGCTCCGGCCTCGAGCTCACACATTTTGTCCACTCTCCCCCCCGCCCCGCATCTCCCCCTCCCTGCCCCGCAGGTGTCAGATCGACGGGCGGGTGACTCGCGTCGCCTGGCTCAACCGCTCGAGCATCCTGTACGCGGGCGGCGACCGCTGGACGCTGGACCGCCGCGTGTCGCTGGCGTCGCACACGCCCAGCGAGTACAGCGTGCGGATCGCCGGCGTGACGGCGCACGACGAGGGCCCTTACACGTGCTCTATTCAGACCCAAAACCACCCTAAGACATCTCAGGTGCATGTGATAGTACAAGGTATGCTCTCAACCCGGTCTGGGCTTTATCAATCAAATCAATCAATCAATGTCCTGTCAATTTGTGAATTCAATTTTTTTGGAAAATAACAACTTTATTTAGGAAGTCGACGTCTATTCAACCCCCGCCCTCGCCCACACGGAAACAAAAAATTCGGGAAAGCATTACGAAAATTATGGTGTAGGATGGGTGGGGGAGTTTTTTTTTTGTCAAGGCGGGAGTTTCCAAGTGAGAGGTGTTAGGGGCCTGATTCGTGTGTTGGTGGACGGGCAATTTCCGCCAAAATTTGGCAGAAGACGGTCAATAGCGCCTGAGGATCGTTCATCATCTCTCTCACTCGCTCACTCCCAGCCTCTCTCTCAGTCTCTATCTCTCACTTTCAGCCCCCTCTCTCTATCTCTCACTTTCAGCCCCCCTCTCTCTATCTCTCAGTCTCTATCTCTCAGTCTTTCTCTCTCTATCTCTCAGTCTCTCTGTCTATCTCTCAGTCTCTCTCTCTATCTCTCAGTCTCTATCTCATTCTCTATCTTTCACTTTCAGCCCCCCTCTCTCTATCTCTCAGTCTTTCTCTCTCTATCTCTCAGTCTCTCTCTCTCAGCCTCTCTCTCAGTCTCTATCCCTCACTTTCAGCCCCCCTCTCTCTATCTCTCAGTCTTTCTGTCTCTATCTCTCAGTCTCTCTCTCATTCTCTATCTCAGTCACTCTCTCAGTCTCTCTCTCTATCTCTCTCTCTATCTCTCAGTCTCTCTCTCTCAGCCTCTCTCTCAGTCTCTCTCTCAGTCTCTATCCCTCACTTTCAGCCCCCCTCTCTCTATCTCTCAGCCTCTCTTTCTATCTCACAGCCTCTCTCTCTATGTCTCGATTTTTTGGTTTCCTTCATTTTTTGTCATTTTTTAAAAATAATTTTTTTACTTGTTAAAATAAATACTTTACAAGTGACCGGGGGGGGGGGGGGGGGGGGCGATTTTAATTTCCTGCCAAACATTGTTGGAAAGTGCCTCTCCGCTGACCGCACGAATCGAGGGGGGGTGACGTGGACTCCATTCCCATTCCTTTTGGCTGTCGTCGGTGGTGGTGGAACGTCCCATTGAGTTGTGATGACACCGCCCGCCGTGTTAGTGCTCGCCCAAAAATTCAAACTCGAATTGGCAGGGATAATTGTTGCCTTATTTATTTCTTCTTTCCTTCTTTTCAATGGGCTCACATGCCTGGGTAAGGTGCATTCATGGAAAATTTGCATCGTCTCCGAAACGAAAACTTGAAAAAAAAACAGAAAGAGCTGAAAGGGAGGAGAGAGAAAAAATAACCCCGAGAATGTGGTCACATCGTTTTTTTATTTTGACGTTTTTTTGTTTGGGACCCAACCCCCCACACCAAAAAGAAAGTGCTTTTGGATCGTCCCTATCCGGGGTTTAGGGGCTAAGGTGTAGGCTAAACAAAGAGTGGTTGGCAGCTTGAGTAGCAATAGTTCGCTTGACCACACACAGGGGCTGATTAACCGTGCAGCGGAAATAACGCAGTAAAAAAAAGTAGCCCCCCAAATGGTTACCGCAACGAGGGGGTTCTATTTAGGGATGGCGGTTAAGTTGACGGAACTATTTCACGTGAAAAACGCACGGCAGCATCTTGGCTCGTAGACCCGTGGTTAGGCTGCTTTGCTCCGGGGTTGTCCCTACGCGAGTTTGAAGCTTCGGTGATGAGAAGAAAATAAATAAGCGATGATTCAAAGCGAGCCCGCCGTTACGGCATCCGAGCGATGGTGTCACTCCGCATTATAACGGTGCGTGTTCTCGCTATAACGTGTTATAGCGAGAACACGTGTTATAGCATGAACACACGTTATAGCGAGAACACGTGTTATAGCGAGAACACGTGTTATAGTGAGAACACGTGTTATAGTGAGAACACACGTTATAGCAAGAACACACGTTATAGTGAGAACACGTGTTATAGCATGAACACGTGTTATAGCGAGAACACGTGTTATAGTGAGAACACGCGTTATAGTGAGAACACGTGTTATAGCGAGAACACGTGTTATAGCGAGAACACGTGTTATAGTGAGAACACGTTATAGTGAGAACACGTGTTATAGTGAGAACACGTGTTATAGCGAGAACACGTGTTATAGCGAGAACACACGTTATAGCGAGAACAGGCGTTATAGTGAGAACACGTGTTATAGCGAGAACACGTGTTATAGTGAGAACACACGTTATAGTGAGAACACACGTTATAGCGAGAACACACGTTATAGTGAGAACAGGCGTTATAGTGAGAACACACGCTATAGCGAGAACACACGTTATAGCGAGAACACGTGTTATAGCGAGAACACGTGTTATAGCGTGAACACGCGTTATAGTGAGAACACGCGGTATAGCGAGAACATGTGTTATAGTGAGAACACGTGTTATAGCGAGAACACGCGTTATAGTGAGAACACGTGTTATAGCGAGAACACGTATTATAGTGAGAACACACGTTATAGTGAGAACACGTGTTATAGCGAGAACACGTGTTATAGCGAGAACTCTCGTTATAGTGAGAACACGTGTTATAGCGACAACACGTGTTATAGCGAGAACACACGTTATAGTGAGAACACACGTTATAGTGAGAACACGTGTTATAGCGAGAACAGGCGTTATAGCGAGAACACGTGTTATAGCGAGAACACGTGTTATAGTGAGAACACGTGTTATAGTGAGAACACACGTTATAGCAAGAACACACGTTATAGTGAGAACACGTGTTATAGCATGAACACGTGTTATAGCGAGAACACGTGTTATAGTGAGAACACGCGTTATAGTGAGAACACGTGTTATAGCGAGAACACGTGTTATAGCGAGAACACGTGTTATAGTGAGAACACGTTATAGTGAGAACACGTGTTATAGTGAGAACACGTGTTATAGCGAGAACACGTGTTATAGCGAGAACACACGTTATAGCGAGAACAGGCGTTATAGTGAGAACACGTGTTATAGCGAGAACACGTGTTATAGTGAGAACACACGTTATAGTGAGAACACACGTTATAGCGAGAACACACGTTATAGTGAGAACAGGCGTTATAGTGAGAACACACGCTATAGCGAGAACACACGTTATAGCGAGAACACGTGTTATAGCGAGAACACGTGTTATAGCGTGAACACGCGTTATAGTGAGAACACGCGGTATAGCGAGAACATGTGTTATAGTGAGAACACGTGTTATAGCGAGAACACGCGTTATAGTGAGAACACGTGTTATAGCGAGAACACGTATTATAGTGAGAACACACGTTATAGTGAGAACACGTGTTATAGCGAGAACACGTGTTATAGCGAGAACTCTCGTTATAGTGAGAACACGTGTTATAGCGACAACACGTGTTATAGCGAGAACACACGTTATAGTGAGAACACACGTTATAGTGAGAACACGTGTTATAGCGAGAACAGGCGTTATAGCGAGAACACGTGTTATAGCGAGAACACGTTATAGTGAGAACACGCGGTATAGCGAGAACACACGTTATAGTGAGAACACACCTTATAGCAAGAACACACGTTATAGTGAGAACACACGTTATAGCGAGAACACACGTTATAGTGAGAACACACCTTATAGCAAGAACACACGTTATAGTGAGAACACACGTTATAGCGAGAACACACGTTATAGTGAGAACACGTTATAGCGAGAACACACGTTATAGCGAGAACACGTGTTATAGTGAGAACACGCGTTATAGTGAGAACACACCTTATAGCAAGAACACACGTTATAGCGAGAACACGCGTTATAGTGAGAACACGTGTTATAGCGAGAACACACGCTATAGCTAGAACACACGTTATAGTGAGAACACGTGTTATAGCGAGAACACGTGTTATAGTGAGAACACACGTTATAGTGAGAACACACGTTATAGCGAGAACACACGATATAGTGAGAACCCACGTTATAGTGAGAACACGTGTTATAGTGAGAACACGTGTTATAGCATGAACACACGTTATAGTGAGAACACACGTAATAGCGAGAACACGTGTTATAGCGAGAACACGCGTTATAGCAAGAACACACGTTATAGTGAGAACATGTGTTATAGTGAGAACACGTGTTATAGCGAGAACACGCGTTATAGCGAGAACACACGTTATAGTGAGAACACGTGTTATAGTGAGAACACGTGTTATAGCATGAACACACGTTATAGCGAGAACACACGTTATAGCGTGAACACGTGTTATAGTGAGAACACACGTTATAGTGAGAACACGTGTTATAGTGAGAACACGTGTTATAGCGAGAACACGTGTTATAGCGAGCACACACGTTATAGTGAGAACACGTGTTATAGCAAGAACACACGTTATAGCGAGAACACACGTTATAGCGAGAACACGTGTTATAGCGAGAACACGCGTTATAGCGAGAACACACGTTATAGCGAGAACACACGTTATAGCGAGAACACGTGTTATAGCGAGAACACGTGTTATAGTGAGAACACGTGTTATAGCGAGAACACACGTTATAGCGAGAACACACGTTATAGCGAGTACACACGCTATAGCGAGAACACACGTTATAGCGAGAACACACGTTATAGCAAGAACACACGTTATAGCGAGAACATGCGTTATAGCGAGAACACGCGTTATAGCGAGAACACACGTTATAGCGAGAACACGTGTTATAGCGAGAACACACGTTATAGTGAGAACACGCGTTATAGCGAGAACACGTGTTATAGCATGAACACACGCTATAGCGAGAACACGCGTTATAGTGAGAACACACGCTATAGTGAGAACACACGTTATAGCGAGAACACACGTTATAGTGAGAACACGTGTTATAGCGTGAACACGTGTTATAGCGAGAACACGCATTATAGCGATAACACACGTTATAGCGAGAACACACGTTATAGCGAGAACACGTGTTATAGCGAGAACACACGTTATAGCGAGAACACACGTTATAGTGAGAACACGCGT